ATATAATATATATATATATATATATATACATATATATAGGCCTATGTAGTATGTATGTATGTATGTATGTATATATATATATATATATATATATGGGTGTGTGTATATACAAATATATATATACATATATAACATTAGATTTTATTAAATACATAATATATATAATAAATATATTATGTGAACAATCTGAAAAATCAATTAAAATATTGAATTACTCAATTCAAAACTGTATTAAATTTCATAGATTTACAGATGTTTTACTAGGAACATCCTTGACTACCAGCCAGTTAAGTGTCTATGTAATTAATATACGCACAGTATTATTTATGTGTCTGTAGGTAAATATTTTCAATTAACAGCTAGTAACTTTAATATTCTGTCCTACAAAGTATGTATGTTTAACAAATGGTAAAACCATACCGTTGTTTAATAATGTGTTTTTGTCTTTATTTAATTAACTTTTCAAATTTACATTAGAAAACTGGTTTCTCTTTTGTTGTACAAAGCACAAACAGATCAGATTTCAAAATGTGTGAATGTGTAATGTGGAACAAATGTTTGAATTATTGTGGATGGCTGTAAATGTGAACATCTAAGATTGCATGATTAAAAATTAAAAATTTGGTTTATGATTTATTCATTTAAATATCAATGAATAACAAGAATAATGATAACAATACCTTTTGGGGCTTAAACCGGGCACTTATTGTCAGCCTACGCGGTTCTATGGAGAATGCAATGCCACAACATGCACCAATGGATCGTTTTTAACGACGATCCGTTCAAAATGCCACCAAAGATCAGTAGGACGCATTGTCATCTAGCACTTACGGGGACAGTACAGAGTTCTAGTTTTTATTTTGTTACTTTATAAATGTATTTATTGCTTATTTATCTTCATATCTTTTTTTTAGGTTGCAGGGTGGCATTGGTAAGGGATTTGACCCTGGTATGACATCTCCCGAGTTTGAGACCAATCAATCAATGCCTTCTTGCTTCTGTCCTTGGGTGAGACAATTTAGTATTATTACCTCGTCCTTCAGATGGACCATTAAGCTGTTGCTCTCTTGTGCATAATAGTTCATATGAACAGGGAATAACTTAGTGCACTATTTGGCAGAATAGTGAATTGTCTTCCAGGGTATTAGCCAAATAACTGACGCTGCCCCTGGCTTCTTTGGGCCCACAGCGGGGCTAATTGAAATTTGTTAATTGATGTGTATTAAAGGACCATATATAGTATACCTGTATATTTTTATTTAATTCATTATCATTTGTATTTTCACGGTGAAGAAAGGAAAGAGAATATTGATTGATTGATTGATTGATTGGTCGATCAAGTTTTGAGGCTCATAAATATTCTTTATTAAAATTCAACTTAAGGCACAAGGGCCAAGAATATGCTAGGCAGCGAACTCAATCACTTTTCACTTCGTAAAGAAAAAATCTTTTTTCCGTGACAGGACAGGAGTTGAACCCAGAACCATGAGATTTAAAAACAAGCAATTTTAATGACCAAGCCAACTGAACTCAATTCACCTCCACTCCATTTCCCACCGTTGTCATTCTTTGTGAAGGTTAATGTATTCTAATGCATCAAGACAAATATATGAAATACTGTAAAATGAATTATTAATTTTTCTCCTCTTGTATCATTCTTCTTTCTCTTTCCTCCCCACCTTCTCTCAAAATTCCATATCCCATTTCCCCCACTTGTACACCAATACCAGTCTCTGAATGTGAATTACCCTTTCTTTCCCCCATTTCCTTCCCTTATTTTAATTATCTGTTAAACTCTTGAACTTGGGAATAAGACAGAAGATTTCCAAAAGTGAGTGACATTAAAATTCATAATTTATTCAAACCGTATATATTAACTCATCGTAGTCAGGATTCTGTACAATTATTTTTTTACGGGGTTGCTAAGTCATCACAATCACAGCACTACTTTATAAATTAACAGAAAACACTAATAATTACTCAATAATTAATAATGACTATAATAACAACCTTTGGTTTTCTGAGCATATTCAAACTGGACGTATATACCAAGTTATTATTAGGTTTTTTTTATCATTATTGTTTATTACTTTGCACTATTTTTAAATCACTGTGCACAATATTCTTAAGAATACCTCAATAATATATTGCAAAAAGATAAGTACTTTAGATTAACCACTGTCATATTTTACCCACAGTGCTTTTCTCATGAGAATCTCCCAATCACACGAGAGCTTTCAACAACCTTTAAAAAATATCCCAAATTAGAAAAGATATTGTATGCAGAATTCTGGACAGAAATAAAAGAATATTCAAGAACAGAAAGCTCTGTTGTAAAGTCATCATTGTTTGACACTTTCTAATAAGACCCAATAAAAAAAAAAAAAGAAAAAAGAATACACATGTTTCACATTTTTGAATTCTTTTCTCCCTTTTTTTTTCTTAACAAAAATAATGATTACAACAAACACAGACAGAACATATTTAGGGCTATTTCAGGCCTAGCCACACTCAAATTGCTTTTGATGATGGTAGCCTTTCTGTTGGCTTTTCTGGAGCATTTTTTTTAAAGTAAAAAGAACGAAGGCGGCCTAAATATTGTTTAAAATACGGGATAGGACAAGAAACGTGTAATTTTTTTTATTTGGCTGTCGGACAGTTTTAGCACACTTGGATGTTCACTATATGGATGGAATTACAGCTCACTAGAGACGCTCATAAAAGTTAAAAATTATTTTCTTTTACTAGTCCTTAGCTCCTCAGTAAATTGAAAGAGTCGAACACATATCTCTACTCATTCACAATAAATTCATATTAAAAATGTCTAATGAAAAAAAAAATTTATATCACAAAATTCTGCGATACTTAATACAAAATATGTTTGAAAATTGTTTTTCTCTCTTTTCATCGTGGTTCCTGTTAGATATGAATAAAATCAGCCTTGTCAGTTACAGCCTCTTCACTAATATTTTACAAGTATAAATTGCACTGCAAACAAATCCAATCGAAACCAAAGGCACTGCCATATATAGGCTTCACAAACAATCAAGGAGGAACCACGAAAACCAACCAAAATTATTTCAGTTTTTGTTGGTTTATCCACGGGCCTAATATAGCAGCTATAAAAATTCAAATTTTAGTGTGAACTTTCATAGAGAATATTTATTTTGTTATAATAATATTTTCATAATACAAACTAGACATTGTATTGTTAAAACCTTTCCTTATTACACTGTTTGATAGAAGTAAACATACTTAGTTGTAAGGTACAAGTATACCCATATCAGTTATGAATTCAATCTTTTAACTAATTATTTATTCACAGCTGCTATTGAGAGAAATTCATTAAAAACCCCTGTTACTCCTTAATTTCAGAATAACAATAAATTATACAGTGTTTTCCTACAAACCCTGTAGAAAACACCAAATGGAGATAGACCCCCCCCCCCAGCAATATATAACAATTTAACCTTGAGAGCTTTTGAAGTCCACTTTGTGTTTAAACCCTGGCGAATACTTGAGTAAATATATACAGTATTGCACAAACACACACACAAAAACATCAAGTTCTAGAAAGTCAAATGCTGCCTCTTGAAAAATCTAGGTATTTTTTTATACATTATCTTCTCTCTTTTACATTTTATTGACACCACTTAAATACATTTTTAAAACAAACTATTTCACACGATAGATTAGAGGACAAACATTTAAAGTGATGCATGATATGCCTTTTAAGAAGTAGTCAGACGAAACCAAAAAAAAAATAAAAATAACATATAGGCAGATCACTGGAATGCAATGTGTAAGAAGAAACAAAATAATTTCAGGTAGAAAATAAAAGCACACACAAGAAAGAAATTATATTCTAGGAATGGAACAAAGTAAAAGGAATAAACTTTAGATGCTCATGCTTGGCATAAACATCAAAATAAAAAACAAACTATTAATTTTAAAAAGTACTGAAAGGAAATCTATTTACAGGAAAAATTTCACACAAAATTATTTTACACCGTCTTTCTAAGTAAGTGTACAGACCCTTTTCTCCAAAAACTTCACTGATAGAACTACTATTTAAAAAAAAACAAAAAAAAACACTACATGTATATTTTTACAATTTTGGAATGATGAAACTACTAAGAAAATAAGAAAAACAAAGGTTGACAATTTGGTAATGACCATGTTTCTTAAGCAGTTGGCAAATTGATTCGAATCAGTTATTGCAATTTCAAATGCCACCTCTGGCACTAAGTGACTCTATATAAAATCATGATTCGGTCATCTGGTGATATAACAATTGCTACCATTAAACAAATTCTCATTTGTTTTATTACCACCTTTGGGGTGAAATGCCAAGTATCTATTACAGTTAAGTGATATATATACCTAACAAGCTTGGAAATTATTACAAGGTAGAGAAAAGACTTCAACACAATCTGATCCCTACTACATATATACTTGCAAATTTTTTAAACAAGCACATTTTTCTACTTATTTTCCTCAATTAAATTCCCCCTACATGTAAAAGTCAATATTCATAACACCCTGTTTTTATATTCTCATGAATTCGATTCTTAACATTTCATATTATGACAACCCAAGACCAAATTGCTATTCAGCTATACCACAGCATAACAATAAACACTATATTTTTGGTTTTTCTAGCATAATATATTGTGACCACTGAGAAAATTGTCACATGGCAACCGAATGTAATGAAGGCAGTTATTTGAATTTCTTAAAACCCATGCACATATTAAGTACCCTACAAAGTGTATTCTGTAACCACTCGCTAAGAAAATAATGAATCCATATACAAAAGAAATGAATAAACATCATGATATCTACTAAGTACAGAAAAGAACTGGTGAGGTAATACAGAATAGGAATGAAAACAGGATGGAATGTATTTGTTATTGCAGCAAAATTTCATTTAAAATTAAGAAAATCATTTTTGGTCCACGTTGAGAATATTAATCAATAGGCCTGTAAAATAAATTAATTTTTTTTTTATATCATAAATAATGTTTGGGATTTTTTTTTATTCTTTAAAAGTAAAAGCCTATTGAAAAAAATGTATTAATACATATTTATTTGGTATCCAAACAATATTTGAATGATGTAAATTAAAAATAGTTGTGAAATTTTAAAGCATAGCATCACAGTATGGTCGGCATTGCATTCTTTGCAAGCCTTTTACCTATAATTATATTCGTGAATGTTGTGAATTTCAGTAGAATCATGATTCAGTTGCAGCTGGGCAGTCTCACGCCTAACAATACCGCAGGAAAATTGTGTGACGCAAAACAAACAAGCGTTGTTCGTTGAATGCAATACGTTGTGACACACAAGTGAATCAAGCATTCACAGTATAGTTAGCTACGCTAACATCCAAATAAAAAATTTCCATCATTAAAATACTTAGGTATAAATTTTCAAGATTCATGAACTCATAACGATCATGATTTTAAAATTCATCTTTTGAATTGATAATAATCAAAGAATTGACTTTCTAAAATTTCCATTAATGTTTTTACCCTCCAAACATGTTCACCAGTTTTCTAATTTTAATATGTCTTCTTGCATTGAATAAATACAATTATATGTTATTGATGGTCGGATAGATTAAATTTAACAGATATTATTTAAACAGTTAAAAAAAAATTCTATAAAAACTACAAGAAAAATATCTATAAAATATATTAAAAAATTAAACCCCAGATAAAAATATGAAAAGAGGGGTAGAAAAATGGGACGAAAATACTGATTTTTAGGATAATATAACTGCACAATTTCAGAAACAAATCCAAGAGACAAGTTTCAAAGCGAATTAACATTACTTCATTATTGCTGGATTGTGTTGTGTTGCTACTTAACACCACAACCTAAACTATACTCCAAGTAAAACAATATTGGTTTATATTTTTAAAACACTGATGAATCGACGCTCTACAAAAGGATGAAAACACAAACCGTGTACTAGAAATTTGCATATTTATGTTATCATTAAACCGTAAGAGATTGTATACCACTGGATGTTATGTTTACTTTGAATTAAGCTAAACAGTTGTCATCACTCCTCATTGTCTCTACAAGTTGATGCAGGAATATTATTCAAGAATATTTCACTTAAATTAAGCATAAAAACAAATATCTTTTTAAAAATCTGGGTTAATGAACCCAATAAGAATAACATTTAATTCAGGTAAGTCATTGCTACAAAATCAGCATATCCTATACATTAATAATTTTATCTACTTTTCAGAAAGAATTATACGGAAATTTACAGATCAGCAATATATACATTTTAACATAGAAAGACTGTAATTAATATTTGGTTTTCATAAGAAACAGCCTTGTTTGGCCCGATAGTAAACTTATCTAGGATACTCCCCGTTTTTTTGTCCGACAAACAAGCGGATTGTAATTTTTCGAATTGTTCTTACAAGTGTTTATGTTCTCATGAACTCAATTCTGGTTTTATTGGGAGGAATTCGGACTTGATAGGTAACGGCGTGATTGTCGTCGTGTTGCCAGTGGTGTTGTTACTCGTTGATAGTAAGTTGCTGTTGTTATTCATCATGCCATTGCCGTTAACATCATCCACCCACTTGTCAAGCGACCGTCTCCTTGCATTCATGAAAAAGTTACTGACTGTGTTAAGTTCAAGACCAAGTTGACTGGCAATCTGCATCTGTAACTCCTTAGATGGGCGCTTTGTCTCCTTGAAAATTGCGTGCAGCGTGCGTCGCTGAATGTCCGTGAACACTAGTCGTGGTTTCTTAATCATATTGGTCGGAACTTGATTCTTGGCATCGTCTTCTTTCTTCTTGCAAGCTGTGATATAAAAAATGAGAAAAGAATTAGAAAATATGATAATGTGGACTTTCATTTATCAATGTCCAAGACAGGATGGTGTTTTACGATCTGAGTAATGTTTGATTAGTTTCATACAAATATAACCAAGAATATTTAGAATAGTAATGCGTGGAAACGCAAGTGCATAGAGGAAGTTATGGTAATAGAAAATTAATATAATTCTATGAACTGGATTGTGGCAGTGCCAAGGTGAAACAACTGCTGTGTGTATGCCATGTTTGTTTTGCAAGATGAACAAAATATTAATATAAATGAATGCTTTGTCAACATTTCTATAGCTATTATATTTGCTTTATATATGATTCAGAATTATATTATACCATTGCATCTGCTTATTATACATATAATTATATAATATATAATGTATATTATATACATTTTTATATAGTATAATTATATCTATAGCCTAGTAAATATGTACATATCCAAAATTTGTTTGTATCCAATAATACATATTTATTTATGAATTTAAACAGATGCATACCCTCATGTTACTCCTACTGTATTTAACACATGTTTTATGCTTCATAAACTGATGGAAAGAACTAAAATGCGGAAAAATGCTGCAAAACAAACTACTAAATGTTTTGTTACGCCTGACAAATTCTGTATTAAAACACACCATAACAATTATAAGCACTCGTCAGACATAAAATTTGACAATGAGATCAAGAAATGCTAACACAATGTCCACGTAAACGAACGTTCACTTAGTACTGATGCAAAAAAACGGCGTTGGCTTTCTACACCTGGATGTCGGAGGCAAAACAAAGGGCAGACCATTGAAACGGCAAAATGAATAATTGCACAGTCAGGAAAACTCCCTTTCTATTGTTCTCTTGTTACTGATAACAAACGCTTTTCTTGTGTCTTTGTGACTTGTGCTCATGCACAACCTTTTATTCTTTAAATATTTTCCCAACGCCATCTATACTGAACCGCAAAAAATTGATGACAACCCATCTGAAAACAAAAATTCCAAACTCACACACTGGCCAGCTGGGTTTGTAGAGGCCAAAATAGATGCGGGCAAACACACCATTCAAAAATGGGTATCATGATATAAACAGCAGAAATATTGTCACTGAAAAATAATCTCATACCTTGAACGCTGTAATTTCCTAGAACATTAATCAGTAAGACCGTCATAGAAAGCACACTTTAAATTGTTTCTAGGCTCTCTATTGAGGAGGCATTATGCATCATAGGTGAAGTTATAGTATAGGTTGACATTTAAGTGCAAGTACATTAATAATTCCCAAACAGAATCTTAAGACTCGTTGAAAATGTTGATGCTTTGTGTATATATATATATATATATATATGTATCTGCCTGTTTTTGCTAATTAGCATTTTAGTACGTATTTAAAATAGACAATGCTTTATATGCCCTGATGTTGCATCCAGCAGACAGCTGGTGGACACTCATAACTGTTTTTAACTTTATCCAATTATACAATTGAGATATTGTCGACGGGCCGATGCATTATGTAGTTGAGTGGGTGATGGTATACAGTGCAGCACTTACTCTCTGCGCCATTAGAGCTAATCCAATAAGTCCTAAAAGAAAACCTAGTAATCAGGAATAATTAATACTATCTTCGTTAACAGTAACTTTAGCATCACTAGATTAACATTGCTGACTTAATTTCCTGCAACCTCTTTTTTTAATATTTCTTTTGAAAGTGCTATAACCTAATATTTGTTTTATTCATATATTTATATGAGTGGTACAACATATTAATAAGAATTGATGACTGCTAATAAATATTCATGTTTATTGTGTGTATGTTGTGACAATAAGATACTGTTAAAAGTACACATAGAGCTTTTGTTCCTTTTAGTCAAGAGAATATTTATCATATAATTCTAATTCTCTGTCTGGATTATTGTTCTTTAGTCTCAAGCATAATTGTATTTATGAAAATTTGTAAAAATTGACAAGCTGACTTAGATGCTCCTTAATATATAAAACATAATGTATGTTACTTATTAGTGACCTATTATATAATTCTTTGGATTATTGTTGTTTTTATATAGTCTAGAGCATAATTGTATTACAAAAATTTGCTCAAAATTGACAAGCAGACATCAGTGTACCTTCATATATAATAACATAATTTTTTCTTTACATATTAGTGATCTGTTATATAATTCTAATTCTCTGTCTGAATTATTATTATATTCTTCGGATTAAATCAGCAACATTAAAATTTCTGATATATACTAAAATATCTAAACATTATTTTCTTGATGATAATATTTCAAATACTATAGAGTACTACAGTGTTACATGGTGTATTTGTAAGTTTAAATTTTAATATAATTATGAAGACTTTTCTTTAAAAAAAACCCAACAATATAATAATATGGTTGCATACATCACAAAGAAACCTGTAGAAAGACAAACACAATTCTTGGTGCCATTAACACTAATTTATATCTGTCCTTGTAAATCATTGTCTTCAAATTTTTGTAATCTATTGTATAGTAGGTTTTTTTTTTAAATATTTTATTTAAATAAAGGAAGTTTACAGAAGTTGGTGGTTTGACAGAAGTTTGTTATCATTACATTTGGTGTTGACAATTGCATGAAGTAGACAGAAGCAGTTTGATTATAACCCGATCTTTGTACTGCTACAGGGCTAGAGTAAGGATCACATCAAGAGAGAAGGCCTTATTGATCGTTTAATGGAACGAGTTTTCCGTGCACACTTCGCTAATGGAATAAGAGCTGGTGTTATTTTCATACCACTGCGCGATTTGCAAACTTTTGATTGAACTGTCGTAGTTGCATTTTTTCCTGGACAAAAAACCGGGAGAAAATTTTACGATTTGTCGTCAGTCGGGGACGCATCAAACAAGGAACCGACCACATTGGTGGTGAGCTTGCTGTGGTGTATTCCCATCTCATCAAACAAAGATTATTTGATTAACAGGAGAAGGACAGAAGTCGAGGCACACACAGGCCGATCAAACTATGTGTGAAAAAAATAATGACTGCCTGTGGCAAATGAATCTAATGCACTTTTCTGTACCATGGCATAGATAAATACCTATAAATAAACAGTCTTAGGCTCATGGATGTATAAATATCATCTCTATAAGAGGCTGTAGATTTCTATGTTATTTCAGCCGCAATGGGGAAGTTTTAATATTATTTCAGCTACAGTTTTATGAGATGTACACTCACAAAACATGCAATTACACTACCACCATAATAGATAAATAATAGAGGGTTTTTTTTCCATTGTCCTAATTAAAAGCTAGGTTAGGTTAAAGTATATTGTGGCAATTATTACATATTTACATGCGAGCAAACACGTAAAACAAACACAAGGCAGTGGCATTCATGCGCCTTACAATTCCAGCTAGCTTATTGTCCCCGATAAGTCAAGGTATATTGCTGTTAAACAATAAGGACAATGGGTGGTCATTAATTTTTCACAGCAGACCACATACTTCATTACCCAAGTTACGATATTGATGAAACAAAGAGCCCACCAGAATCTTTTGCTCTGAGCAACCAGCCCTTTCAGGGTAAAACGTAGCATGCAAAGACAATGCGAACAAATATTAAGGTTGGCATATTCTGTAATAACGGTGTAAAACACTAAGTATCTATAGATTTAAATGGGCCCACCCAACAGCTTCGGGGCTTGCTTGAAATTTATCTTCACTCACGCCGTCAGTACATGAAAAGAGCACTGAAATTCAACACTGAGGTTCTTAAAGAACACGGCGAAACACAAACCACAACAAAAGTAATATCGCCAAACAAAACATGAGCAATATTCTGAGTCGTGGGTCTAAGAAAACAATGAATATGAAATATTGTTCTAAGACACTTAATCAAAATAGCTCTAGGGTTGGTTTTTTTTTTCTCAAATTCCTAATTTAAAAATCAAAATATCAGAAATGCAATTACAAATAACAAAAAAGACAAATTTGAATTTTGATAAACTTAATGAAGATTACATCACTAGCAGACATTTCAAGAACACACGATTTCCATGCATTTATTAGAATTTCAAATTTATTCAAACTACTTCTCCAGATGATGATTTTTCAAAAACATTAAAAATAAATTTAATCATGATAATAATTCTCGAAATAGCAGACTCTGAATTTCTGTTGGCGCATCATCAATAGTTAATGTCAACGACATGCATGTACTCCCTCACCCTTAAAAACGGAAGTTCTTTTTTTTTTTCTCCTGTCTCGTGCGCATTCATGCTTTAATTACGCAGGAAATGGAGGTTCTTCGTAAATATTAAATATCTTTTTGCTTGATCTTAATCTGTACAAAAATAATTTTACTGACAAATATTTTATGATGCTGCTAAGTAGATAATGATGCATCAAAAAATTTTACTTTATGCTGAATACTGTTTGTATTCTTCTAAATATCAAAATTAAGAGAAAAGGGGAAAAAAAAACATATTATGGGATAGGGCCTTCATGGAACTTTAGTAACATGACTCCCAAGACAGACAATTTTTTTTTAATTATTATTGTTTCTAATATTTAATTTGAAATAGAATTCAGGAAAGAAATTGAGTTTGGGTAAAAATCTAATCTATAATTTTATGGTTTAATATAAATCTGAAGTATATAAATAATGTAATTTTTATATAAAAATAGATAAATAATGTATAAGCTAATATACAATGTTTTTATATTATATTTTCAGTATTAATACTATCATTGGTGAAATATACACACACATTAATATATAAAACACTATAAATATAAAAAGGATTATTCAATAACAAGTAATAAATGTACAATATTTAAAATAAAATAGATAACTAAAGTAATAAATATAAAATATGAGTGATATGAAATTACTATGAAAAATCATGTACACAACTATGACATGTAATTTCGACAAACTCCGAAACGAAAAATAATTGTATTAGAATGATGGTTTTAAAATTATAATTGGCATGAATTGA